TGCGACCCTTTGTTCGAATAGTGCGAGTGAGTGAACGGTGAACCATTGTCGCATCGCGTGCTCAGTGGTGTGGGACGTACTATGGCACATTCTACTTGAATAGAAGCTAAATGGCTACAGTAGGCGCAGCGACTCGTCCACTTAACCGTCTGCGTCTCTGCCTTTTCGCCGCACCACCGAAATAGCGTAGAATTCAGCCTCCTATTGGGCACCCGTTATAGTTATAGCTCTACTTCCACTCCAGGCGCAGCAACCACAACTTTAGGTGGTTGTGGGCGTACTTCTCCCCTATTTTACCCCACGGCTCTAATTCTACGCTCTAATCTTAGCGCTTTCATCTGATGAAGCGCATTTTTGGACTTCGGCCAACCATTGCCTGCAATTCCCTTTTCACTTCAATTATGCAATTCCTTCAGTTCCTTAGACATGAGTAGTAATTGTTTATCACCGGGTAACAAGTTTATAATCATATCATGACTTTCAACAATAACAACAACTAAAAGAATCATTAACAAGATGTCTAATTGATGACGAACTTATTTTCACCCATATCCGACAGCTTCTTTTCGATTTCATCGCGTGTGTAAATCTGGAAACCGTTCAATTAAATGCAAAAGTAATCTGGCAGGGAAGGATGCTGTGTGGCGCTTTTGTCAGAAGAAAGACCGTACCATTATTACTGGCAATCCCTGTACAATTTGAAAACCTGGCAATGATAATATCGACCCGAACGTTGACCATTCCCAAACTTCCATGAACATATTCATTCCACTCGTCTGACACAAACATACGAATATTTTCTAACCTGAAAAACTGAATACTTCAAATTTTTCTTGGGTATGCACTAAGCAGCTATGAAAAAATGCAGATATTGAGCAGGAGAAAACAAAAGAGCTTATAAGCACTCTAAAAATTCTTACAGACCTTCTAATTAAGAAAAGGACAAACTGATGAATGGCTTCAACGAATTCACCTGAATTTATGGTCTTTATCCCATTCCGCAGGTGTTTCGAACATAGGTCGTAAGACTGAGCCAATTTGCGCTGTTTCGTCACAATCAGTCAGTATGTCGACCTGTCCTGCCTTAAAAATTCGGAAAAAAGGTGTAGGATAAGTTCTAGAGCAGCTAAAGTGACCATCAGACCGGTGAGCTTGAGCGTTCTGACAATGCGGCCAGCAGTCGAATGATGCACGCAACGATTCGAAAGTGGTGCAGACCACCTCTCATCCGCCACTTTCGCTCTGCATGTCCTTTTGTGCAAAATGCTATGTTAGCCAGATTGCGAATGCGGTACGCCAGTCTTGTTTGCCCGCAGTAAGAAAAAGATTAGGAATTTAATAGAAAATCAGAACAACTATATCCGTAGAGTTTGTATTGAAGTCATCAGGGCAGGCAGGGCTCTCTAGCGTGCCTCGCCCAGCCTCTAGGAATCAGAGATTCAAATTACATAGCTTAAATCACGTAGGAAACTAAATGATGCTTGCATGGTATTTAAGATACTAACTGGAATTGCCAGGGTTGATGCGTCAAAATTCTTCAGTAGGGTCCAATCTAGAACCAGAGGAGGATCTGTGAAAATTTCATACGCAACGCCTCGAACCAATATGAAGCTCTGCAGCTTTCACCTGTAGAGCGGGATCTAATTTTCATCATTCTTGGTAATCAAACCGAAGTATCAACTATACACCACCTGCTTTATATGCAGTCAACGCCTGCTTAAGTAAGTTTTGTTGAGTTACTCTTATTAACGGTGGAAGTGTTTTCCTTTTTACAATGTTGTTTTGTTTCTCAAGTTCTGGCCTTATGTTAACGTTTTTAAAAATAAAATACAACAAATAGGGAGGGTCAAGACAGCGAATGAGGGCCAAACTCTCGCCACTTTCCCACGGCCTCCGAGCGCTTGTGTCGCACATACCGCGATCCGCTACACTCGCAAGGTTTGGCACCGGCTTCATAAAAAAAAGTGTTTCGAAAAAAAAAAAACGACTTTTGTCGAAAATCCAACTTATTTCTTACCACATAAAAAAAGAGAATAAAAGAACGTTGAGTGACATAAGTTTCAAGATAAACTCGACAAAACAGTACAGATCACGAACCTGTGGATACTGTATTAAGAAGGGTCCACTGTAGATTGCCATTCTTGCTTGACAGATACCACGATAGCGCTGTAAAGCGCCGTTCTATCAGACAGGCCGAAATCCACAGTTTGAATGAAATTATCTTACCTCTGAGGTTTGCGCAATGCTAACTCTAAGCATGACCAATCCATAGAGATTCGGAACGGCTAAACGGAAGGCGTGGTCGAAAATTGAGTTTTCGATCAGATAAAGCTTTTAGATAGGCGTCGTTTTTCTTCTAAATCCTTCTTTTCCTAAAATCTACTCAATTATTACAATATTTGAATAGATAAACAATTTTTAAATTCTAGACAGTTGCTCACAGCTACTTACTTCTGCACGAGCTTTTCGTTTGTTGCGTTCCTCCACCAATACCGCATTAACGGCTTTTTCTTTGACCTGCTCTAGAGCGTCGAGCTGTTTCTTCTCTACATCGGTAACGTTACCTAAAAAGACTGCAATGACAAAAAAGAAACAGATAGAAAGTGCTTCTGAGGCAAATTAATCTAACAAAGATTCGGTGGAAAATGCAGCATAATATAGGGACTGTCGAGAAGAACGTCCTCAAATGTGTTCTAACAACCCGCAGTTGACCTCACCTTCTTCTTCAGTTTCCTTGGTAAATGCAAAGGTTTTCTTGGCCCGCTCAATCCAATCTACACATTGTTGTGCATATCCAAGTTCCAACAAACACTCTGCACCTCGATTTGCCGCCTGAATCTCGTAAGAAATTAAGAATACAGGAGTTTTTCTCACAACTACAGCAAATGTAAACAACCTTCAAATTTCTAGGGTCAAACTTCAGAGCCATTGCACAGTCTTTTATGGCAGATCGTCGATTGCCAATGTGCTTTTGAGCGGCAGCCCGATTTCCGTAAAGGACCGAATTCAACTTTAAATCCATGCACTGCACCTTAATGCCTAAAAATGATGATGATAGCCATTACCTTAGGATTTTCTGTGAACGTTATCAAACGCTTCACTCTTTCTCGCATCTTGAAGAGTCACCAGCGTAAATTTTACCTTCAGAATAACAATCGGTGGCCCAGCGATACTTTTTGAACTTGAAGTGTTTATTGCCTTCCTCTTTATGCCGTTCAGCACTTAACTGCTTATCTTCCATGTCATCTTCATCGTACTTGAGAGCCTAGAAAGAACATTTGCAGCATGTCCACCTGATAGGAACTCAAACTTGTAAACCACAGCTTCCATCGACCACATCACAAGTTTTAAGGGTGCCCTGAAGACTTTGAGGGTATCCTTTTACGCAAGGTTAGCGATCACAAGAGATCCTTCACTTTATTTGGATAACGGTTTCACATTGAAAAATGAAAATGACTAGAGGGGAGATCGCTGCATAAATGTCAATTGGCCAGAACACAAGTGTCCTTTAAAGTTTGGGTTGCTGGTTTTATTCCACCCTAAGGATAAAGTCTGTCATTCAGCAGCTGCAGCACCGAAATTGTGAGAGCAAGGGAGTTTACTCTAACAGTCAATGATGGAATATTTGTCGCACTCAAATTTCGATATCAACTTGGAGTCCAGAGACATTTCAGCCACACCCATAAGAAACGTCCCACTTGAGTGGTCCAAGAAGCGTTCAACAAAAAATTTTTGGACGAAAAACCGTTCCACGTGATAAGTTCGTACCTGTAATGCACTCAAAGTATCCGCATATTGACCATTCAGCCCAGCATCAAGATCTTTCATAAAAGCAGGATGTTGATCGATGTCTCTGCACCACTCGTCAAAATCGAAAGGCTTTTTCTCTGTCTGTTCAGCAGCCTGTACATAGCATTAAATAATCTTCGAAATCGAACGTAATGTGACTTTCAAGAGTTGGACA